CCTTAGTAGCTAGAACTGCAAGTGTGTACCACCATGCCCAGCTAATTTTTTGTATGTTTTTTTGTAGACACTGGGTCTCACCATGTTGGCCAGGCTGATCTCGAACTCCTGGGCTCAAGTGATCCTCCCACCTGGACCTCCCTAAGTGCTGGATTATAGGTGTGAGCCACCGTGCTCAGCCACATCCACTTATTTCTTTCATCCTCATGACAGTCCTGGTATTTTCCCTTATTACAGATGAGAAAACTGAGGCACAGAGAAGCTTAGGTATTTGTCCAAAGTCACAGCTGGTAGGCAGCAGGGCCAGTACCTAGCCCAGGCTGCGGGGCTCCGGAGTTAGGGCCATAACCACTGCACCATACTGCCCCAAGGCAGCCACAAAGCCTGAAAGGGCAGAACGAAGGGGATTTGGTTCACTGCTGTGTTGGAAATAGATGCTCAGTGACACAAAGAAGAATTAGCACTGAGACAAAGGACTGGCTAATAAAACTTTTCTAAACGGGCAAAAGCAATGGAGAGCTGAGACACGCCTGTGAGCACGTCTAGCACACGTATCTTGGTTAAAGCACAAAGACATAGAATGTACTACGTGCCTGTAAGCAAGGCAGGTCTAACAGCTACATAGGATAGGGCTCAACAAAGAGTTATTAGCACGCTTATTCTTTAACGAGAAAACTTTAAAGAGGAACTCTTACTTCCCACAGTTGGATCCCCAGGACCGTGACTTGCACGTAACAGCCCCTCCTAAGTGTCTGTTGAACGAATAAGTGAATGAATGAACAATTCCTCCCTCTCCTAAGAACCATCCTCCACCAACTATCCAAAACTAGCTGAACTCCGGCTGAGCCCCTCTTGCTCAAGCACTGCGTGGCATTCTATCATCCCTGGCCAGGTTAGAAGGCTCCACACCAGTGTGTTCACGGCACCATTTCCTGATCACGGTTTGTGCTCACAGGACCAGGTTGATTTTCTTCCCACCGAGGGAGGGCTGTGACTGCTGGTCCACTGGTCTGTGTCCTCCAGGGTCACTCTCCCTCCCAGACAATGTTGGAGGCTCTTTGTGGACAGAGCCGTAGCCAGCCTCCTCTCTATGGCCATTGCCCTGTGTGAGGCCAGGTAAATAGAGGCATGGAAGATGAGACACCTCCTGCCAGCTCCGCTCCTCCCTCCCTCTGCATCCTGGCTTCCTGGAATCGCAGACTGGGCACACACCCCCCCTCCACACACACCAACCACCACCCGACCTGCGTCTCTCACCACTCAGCGCTTCCTGCCTCACTTTCTGCCAGGCTCTATGATGGGAGCCTCGAGTGTGTCATAGCACGGGTGGTGGAAAATCTCTCTGAGCAAGTCAGCCTAGGGGATGTCCCAGGCCTGTCACAGGTGTCGGTGGTGAGCTCAGATGTAACCAACACTCCCTCCCCCACTACCAAACGCACTGTGTGGCCTGGGACACGGCACCATCTCCCACTCAGGGCCTCTGGGTCTCAACATCCGAACAGGACTCAGAAGCTCTGTCATTCCTGTCTTGCTAGGTCACTGTGTGATTATAGAGGACACCTGGGGTGCTCACACTTTAAAAGCGGTGAGGAGCTGTGCCATGTGGGCACTAAATATTGCCAGGGTCTAACCCCTTGCTTCACTGCATTCTGGCTTGTGTGATCGTGGGCAAGTCACTTGACCACGCTGGGCCACAGGCCTAGCTATAAAATGGGCTAAGAATCGTACCTCCCTCATGGCATTCTTTTAAGGATCCAGTGAGTTAATAACACAACGTGCTTAGAACACAGTCTGACGCCTCTAAGTGCTCCATACATGCAGTTCTTGAAGAGATCTTGAAGGACCGAGAACATTCCACAGTAACTCTCACAGATCCTTGACGCCATAGCTGTCCCTCCCCCTACCCCCAACCCCCCTCACCTGTTGATAAAACCCAAATTGTCAAGTAGTGGCTGCTAATCTGCAAGAATAATTCCTCTCTCTTCGAAACACCATCCTCAACCAGCTACACCTGAAAACAGCGGTTTCAGCTGAGCTCCCTTGCCAAAGCGCAACCCAACATTCCCCGCTCCTTCCCCAATTAGAAGGTCCCTTCAGAGTCTTCTCGTGCCGGGCGTTTCTGACTCACGGCTTGTGCTAACAGGGCTCTGCTCGATGTTCTTCCAGAGCTGTTACTATCACCCTTAGATCCCCAGAATCTAGCCCAGGGTCTGACGCATAGCACAACAGCTGGTTATCATGGAGGTAGCTCAGGAGGGGGACAGTAGGAGGAAGTGACCTACTCTGCTTGGGGTAAATCAGAGGGCCTCCGGAAGCAGAGATGCTTGAGTGGGATTCTGAGGGATGCGTGGGAACCTAAGGGTAGACTGTTTGGGCTACTGAAAACTCAGGGATTAGCAGGTGCCAAGGCTAACGAGGCAGCTGCAGTCGCTATTCTCCTCAACCCCAGCGCCAACTCTTGACATAAAATACATGGAGTACAGGTCTCAAGCCATATTCCATGTGGCACCTGGAACCACAGAAATATCAGGGCTAGGAGAGCGCTTGGAAGCCATCCAGGCCAGGTGCGGTGGCTACACCTGTAATCCCAGCACTTGGGGAGGCCGAAGTGGGCGGATCACCTGAGGTCGGGAGTTTAAGACCATCCCGGCCAAAATGGAGAAATCCCATCTCTACTAAAGATACAAAAAAATTGTTGGGCATGGTGGCACGTGCCTGTAGTCCCAGCTACTCAGGAGGCTGAGGCAGGAGAATCGCTTGAACCCAGGGGGCAGAGGCTGTGGTAAGCCTAGATCGTGCCATTGCACTCCAGTCTGGGCAACAAGAACAAAACTCCATCTCAAAAAAAAGAAAAAGAAAGAAAAAGAAATCATCCAATCAGCCTGCCCAATCCACAGATGGGGCAACTGAGGCATAAGAGCAGATGGGACCTCCCCCAAAGTCCCCCAAGTCATAGATGATCACATTAAGGACCTCAGCCATTCTCCTGAAAATCACAGTGGGTCACTGGAGATTTAGCACGGATGTGGTGTGGCCAGATATGACCCTTAGCCAGGTCAGCCTGGCAGGGCTCACAGGTGGAAGGATCAGAGGGGGCAGGCGGCCGTGAGGACAGGCAGAGCAAGGAGGAGACTGAGCAGGGATATACGAGCAAGGGGTGAGGGCGTCAGGTTTGTGCCATGGGGGTCACCAGGGTCGGATGGGAGTAGCCAGTGAAATGCTAGCCCAGAGGGACACTGGGCAGCTTGAGGGGTGGGGGCAGCAGGAGGAGGTTACAGAGGAGGAGGAGGGAGAAAGACCACCTCAGCCTGACCAACCTGCTTTGCCCTCAGCTTCCTCTCCTGGCCGCCGTTCAGCCTCATCTACCTGCCAAGCTATCAAAGGGCTTTGCTTTTTCTCCTACAATCACAGTTATGGATGGTGGTATCTTTTTGTTTTTTTCCCCTAGGCTGACCGTCAGGAAGCTGAGAATGAAATTTTCTAGGTATTTTCCCATTCATATGATCATCTCCTGTGTAGCCTTCTATACGCTAAGGACCAGAATCTCTGGAGTCAAATGTACCTGAGTTTGAATCCTGGCGCTACGCACCATCGGCTGCCTTTCTCCGCCTCCCTGGGCCTCTGTTTCCTCATTGGCAAAGTGGGGAATGAAGCTCCTGCTTCTCAGGTTGTTTCCAGGCGATGAAAGACGACGCTCAGACCACACTGGCACAACGTGTAGAACATAACTATGGGGCTTTTGCCCCTTCTTAATGTGCTTTTTGGTCTGTTTTTTCAGCGGTCAGTGATGAGGACAGTGGTGGGTGATTCATCCTAGACTGGGCCTACAGTTTCGTTTCCCCCATAATTTACTTGGGAAATTCAGGCACCAGAAGTTGCTTGAATGAGAGACGGGAGGTAGGAGAAAGGGGGAAGCAAGGAACAAACCTAATTCAACAAAGAGGAAACGTGAGAGCCTGGAAGCCGCCCCCCACACCTCTCCTCCTTTTTCCGCTTACCCCCAGATCTGCGCTGCTGCCTCCTGCTTCCCGCTCTGCACCTGATGGTTCTCGAAGCCCCCAGCGGACGCTGCCTGGCCGCCAGCTGGTGCTATTTCTCTCCTGAATCTGACCCAGGCCCACCTGGGTTCTAATCACCACCCCCGCTGCCAGCTGCTTCCTCTGTCTTCTCACCTAAGATCCACACTCGGCCCCACACTGGACATGACACACAGTGACTGTTGGCCCATCCCTCCATCTGCACCTGGTGTAAGGTGGCCCTGACTCCGCTCCCTGCCAGCTCAACTCTCTCACCAGGCATGGTGGGGACAGCTGGGTTCCCTGGGCTTGCCTCTCGCAGGTCCCTCTCAGCTTTCCAGTCTCCATCCGCTCAGCCTCAGTGTTCCCTGCCTGGGAAGTCGGAGTTGGGAAACATGAGAGCTCCTTTTGTGTTAGGAAACTGAGGAATTATATGGTCCAGAGATGTCATCAGATATCAGCTGATGAGGCTGCCTATAGCACAGCATTGCAGACTCTGAAGTTGTACCCAGGCTCTGCACGAGGGCTGTGGTTGATTACAAATGTCTGCCACGCATGGGTGTAATTGATTAGCAATGTCTGCTATGAGTATGGCTTTATGAATGCCAGGAATTGCCATCCATGATCTGGTCCAACTTTTATCAGGGCTCTATCCATCTATCTATCTATCTATTTACCTGGAGAGAGAGAGAGAGAGAGAGAGAGAGAGAGAGAGAGATCTGTCATCTAGTGCAATACTTCCCCAGGCATAGACTTGTGGGATATGGCCACGAGATGGGGCCTAAACACAGAATAAGACACACCTGACTCCTATTAGTGAAAAAGATATTCCCTTTACAATCCTCTTCCTCTCAAGGAGGAAGTTGGCATTTGGCCCTGGGATTCCTTCAACAGCTTCCTAGCTGCTTCTCTTTTCCCCTTTAAGCGACAACAGATTTTCAGCAGGCCATGAATATCAGCACGATTTTGTTGCATTGTACTTACTTTGTACAGCTACCTTTTATTTATAGTGAAAATCGTTTTCTTTTCATTTACAGAGTAATATATTTTTCTTTAAATAAATGTATTTTAACAAAAAGTGAATTGACTTCAAGAAAAAATATTAATAATCACAAAGATAGTACACACAGATCATTAAAAGATACAGATGTATAGATACTAAGATCACAAATGACTAACACTTAAAAAATGTAACCCTCCCAAGACGTGGGAGCCTCCTGGAGCAGGCAAATACAATTTCCCTTTGGGGGATAAGGAAGCTGACTTGCAGAGAGGTTTAGTAGGTTGCCCAGGACACGCAGCAAAGGTGTGGAGCTCCCTGTGGTCTGGAACATGCAGGACCCTATGGCACGAGGTCAGACTGTCCTGTGAATAAGTTCTTTTCAAGGCACAGACCCAAGACTCAGAAAACCTCAAGAAAGGGGAACTTATTTTGGATACAAAGGCAACAGGAATCCCGACCAAATGGTCAGCAGCCCTCTCGGCAGTAGGTATTTTTGTATTGGGAGCCCAAGGTCCTCTGCTCAGTGGCTCAATTCTTGTCTACCTTCTCCAGGTAGCTTAGTCCACAAGCACCTGGTCCCAGGGGCCTCCCTCCCTGAGTTCAAATGCCTAAGACAGAGATGATCTGATTGGCTAGTTCAGGCCCAGCCTACCTGATTGGACAGAGCTTGGTGCCAGGCCCCCTCATAGGCTACTGCTCAGCCTATGGGGACATGTGGTCAAGTGCCCAATCAGCTGTGAGCAGGGCCTATAAGTGCAGGTGCAATGCGATCTGCCTGGGGCAGAGGAAAGATAGGTGGAGTGGAGGGGAGGGGAGGGGAGGGGAGGGGAGGGGAGGGGCACGAGAAGGAAGGGGCCAGTTGTGTGAGACGGGGAAGACTGAGGTGTGCAGATGAGCCCCTTGCAGAAGGGGACTTGCCAGACCTCATAGGCATGGGACTTTGCCTGTCTGTGTGAATGTCAGGCGCAGGGAGCCCAGACCAGGTGCCGCCAGGTAATTCATGTGTCCATCCAAGGTATACGATGGGGTGCTGGGCACTGTGTCCAGGGCAGTGAAAAGATAATGAGACCCTGCCCTGTGGAGCTGCCCTTTTGAGACCAGTGTGCCAACCCCTGCAGAGCTGCAGAGGAGACCCCTCCAGTGGAGGGGGAGTGGGAGGTCCCAGGCCTGGCAGCATCAGGGCCCGGCACGAGGAGTGGCTGCTGCCTGGGCCTCGGAGCCCAGGGTTTACTCTCCAGCAGCTTCTCCTGTGGGTCTGTGAAGCCACTGTGGGAAGATGCAGCAGGCGTCTACTTTGTGGGGGGACCTGTGCCCATACTTGGGGCCCAGCATGAAGGATGCAGCAGCCAAGCACTCTGAGGTCTCAGAGATCCCAAGTAACAGGGTCTCTTTCTCCAGTCGCCCTGGGTCCCTGATAGCTTCGACCTCCAGTACTGAGGCTAGAAGTTTCCGGCAGATTAAGGGAGGGAGTGCTTCCCTCCAGGGGAGTTTGTCACCTAAATGAGGGGGAGGGCACAGCAGGCTCAGGGAATAAGCAGGTGTGACAGAGGGGGTGTGCGGCAGCTCTGAGCAGCTCAGAACTGTAGGGACGGTTGCCAAAGGGACTGTCCTCACATGATGCAGGAGGTACAGGTGCCAGATGAGCGGGGCTGATGGCAGCGGGAGCCATGCAAGATTTTTTAACTGGGGAGGAGCATGGCCATGTTTGGGTTATGGAAAGCATGCTCAGGCTGCTCTCTGGAGAGGGAGGGGAGGGGAGGAGGCTGGGGTAGAAAACCCAGGGAAGAGGTGGGGTGAGGAGCCCTGGAGAGCTTCGGGGACTGATGGGGAATAGCTGCAGGGCTGGAGAGGAGCGATGCTTCAGATACTAAACTCATGGGACTGGGTGACTGAAGAGGGAATTGAGGAGTTACCTCCCCCAGCAACACACACAGTTCCCGGCTCGGGCAGCAGGACCAGGGAGCAGCAATGGAGGTTTGGAAATGGATGGGCCAAGTGTGCAGGGGGTGGGGGCCATCTGGGTGGAGGCATCCAGAGGACTGGACACTGAGTGTCCTCAGCAGTGGACTAGGCTCGGGCACAGAGTCCTCAACAGGCCCCTGCTCAGGCCCGGCACAGAGCAGGCAACTGCCTGCCCCCCACCCTGGCCATCTGTCTACACCAAGTGACCTGGGTCCTGATCTTGGATTTCTTGGAGGGACAAGTAGGCATCGGTGTTCAGGGGCAAGCGACAGTTAAGGACCCTGACCTGGCCCTGCCCAGGAGGACTGGCCCAGGGGAAACCAGCCCCCTCCCTGTGGCCAGGGTCAGGGACCTCCTCCCCCGCCTCTCGCAGCACCAGCTCGGGGGGTGGCTGGAAATCCACCAGGTCTGGGACTCCTGGGGTGGGAGGCCTTGGGGGCTGGAGGTCCCAGTCTCTGGGGACTCTCTCCTGCAAGGAAAGGGGCAGCCTCTCTTCACTGGCCCCGCTGCTCCCAAGGGCAGTGTTTGGGGGGCTGGGGCCACTGAGGAGACTGGGGGAGAAGAGCAGCAGGTCATCCCCAGGGGGGAAGGTGCAGTAGGCATCGTCCTCCCCTGACAGAGGCCACAGGGGATGGGGGGATGACCCTGTGGGCGCCCCGGCCCCACCCTCATCAGGCTCTTCCTCTGCACAGGGGTCGTAAGTAAAGTACACCTGGCAGGCCTCGATCTCCAGGGCATCCGGGAGGCGGAAGAAGAAGTAGCCCTGGTTGGTGAAGCAGCTGGTCAGCGAGCGCTTGCTGCTTAAGGACGTGGGCTCAGGCACCTTGGCCTGCTGCAGGAGCAGCTGCGTCGCCTTGTCACTCTCCAGCACTTCCAGCGGCGAGATCTCAGGTGTCAGGCCGCCAGGGCTGAAGGACGATGAGGGGAAGGGCGAGGAAAGCCACTTCTGGTGGGAGAAAGGCCAGGGGTGGGTAAGTTGGGGTGTCCTTCACCCTCCACCCCTTCCTCTGGACTCTCAACAGCTCCTGACTCCTCATCCTCCTGAAGCAGTTGGTCCAGGGCTTCCCCCTCTAGGAAGTCCTCCCTGACTATAGCTCTGCACTCCCCCAACCCACCCACTGGCTTGGGGAGCCCTCTGGGCCACCCACCCAGGAAGACTGCCTGACCCACAGCCCAGCACAGGCCTGCCTGGCTCCCAGTCATGCCCAGGAATATTTACTTCCTCAAGAGTGACTGTTTATTGAGTACCTGCAGTGAACCTGACACTGTTCTAGATGCTGGGGACACAGCAAAGGAGAGAATCCTCAGACTGGCCAGCGGGCACTAGCACAAGTGTATGAATTGATCCACCCGTACCAAAGCAGAAGGGCACTGAAAGCACAGCCTGTTCACCTTACAGATGCCCAGAGAGGGACTTGCCCTGGCCCCGTCATGGACCCAGGGTCCCCGCTTACACTGTGGTGGGAATGTCTCGGGGGAGCTGATGGTTTCTTGATTCGCCTCTCCTCTTCAGTTCTCTGCAGCCCCCACCCCCTCTGCCTTCCATCCCCTCCCCACACAGAGAGAGGAAAGTGCCCATCAGAACACTTCTCAGTTGCTCAGGAATCCAGAGAGCCCTGGCAAGGAGTGGGGAGACCAGGGTTCTAGCCCTGGCCCTGGCACTCACTGACTGTGTGACCCTGGGTAGGCTCCTGCACCTTTCTGGGCCTCAGTTTCCACAACAGTTAGCCACGTCTCTCCTGACTTCCTCGCGGTCACCCATCAGGTCACCAGGGAGACGTCAGGTAAGCAAATGGAGATGTGAACACCCGAAACAGGGTGAGATACAGACTGCACAGCAGCGTGGGGGACAGCGGGACTTCCCGGTGATGCGGCAGGGCCTCGGGTGGGTGAGTTGGGGGCACTGCCAACCCTCCGTCCCGGGAGCCCTCAGCAGCTGGACTATGGCCCCCTAAGTACAGGGGCCAGGCCCGATGGGCTCCCCAGCACTCTGCCCAGCACAGGGCTGGCGGGTCTCATGGATCTATTTCAGATGAATTAATGAACCAGCAGCGAATGCCCAGTTCTCCTCTCCAGGGGGAGTCCCTAAGGCTGAACCAGCTGCTTCACACACACACACACACACTCTCTCGCATGCATGCACACACATGCACACATCACTCAATTAAATCTGCCCCCTTCCCACAATCAGGAGTTATGTCACAAAAGAAAAGGCCGAGAGGGACAGAAGGGGTAAACTGAGGATAGCAAAGAGGAGCCGCTGGCTGGGCAGAGAGGAAAAAGCATGGGTCGGGGGAGGTTCATGATACCTGGGACTACGGCGGGCTGGGCAGCAGCCATGAGTGAGCAGCCAGAGAGGCACTGGCCAGGCCTGTGCCCAGCGCCGGAGAGCCAGGCCCACTGCCTCCAGCCAGCCACTTCCCGGGCCTGTCCTCTGCCCACCATGCCTTGAAGGCCACTTCAGGAGAAGCTCGTGCCCCTCACACACACTCCCACACTTGCACGCACATTCCAGGGTCCCCTGGGAAGCGGGGGGTGGGCTTTGTGGCCCCTGTGGGTCCTGGGGTAGAGAGGATAGGGGTAGGTCTCCCACCCAGATGCAGAAGTGGGGCCCGATTGGCCAGCCCCAACCCCCAGCCACATGGTGCCTTCCTCCTAGTGTGCTCCACACACTAGGCCCAGGCAGGATTCTAGACCCACGGATGCCCTCAGCTGGAAGGGTTTGGACCCTCCCACCTCACAATGTCCTAGGCCCATAAAATCAGGACTTGAAGCTGGAAAGGATCTGAGCACACAGCTAAGCTAGCCCAGCCTCTGACCGGTTCAATGGGGAATCTCTTCCACCATGCTTCTGACACACAGGCAGCCATGGCTTGCTTAAGTACCTTATAGATAGGAATCTTGCTACCTTCAAGGCTGGGGGAGGAATTTTAATGATTTATATTCCTGCACACCAAGAGTACTGCAAGTAATGGCCAGGCGTGGTGGCTCACGCCTATAATACCAGCACTTGGGGAGGCCAAGGTGGGTGGATCGCCTGAGGTCAGGAGTTTGAGACCAGCCTGGCCAATGGTGAAACACCATCTCTACTAAAAGCACAAAAATCAGCTGAGCGTGGTGGTGTGTGCCTGTAATCCCAGCTACTCGGGAGGCTGAGGCAGGAGAATCGCTTGAACCTGGTAGGCAGAGGTTGCAGTGAGCCGAGATCACATCATTGCACTCCAGCCTGGGCAACAGAGTAAGACTGTAAAAAAAAAAAAAAAAAAAAAATACTGCAACTAAGATATTCTTGTCTTGGGAGTTTTACAAGGAATTCCAGAAGGGGCCCTTGGTCGGCCCTGATAGAGAACTCCAGAGCCAGGGCATGACAGCTCTGGTCCGTCGTGGCTTTCCTCCCCACAACTCCTCTTGACCTCCCTCTGCCCCTACCTCATCGCCACCCCCCAATCTTAGGAGCCTAGAGTGGAACTAGGGTGGTATAAGGTCCCCCACACATCCCCCCTTCACTCTTGAAGCTTCCTGTCTGAAGGGGCATGGGCTGGGGAAGAGGTGACAACTGAATTTGAAACAGAGTTCAGAGCGTTACTGCTCTGTGAGCCGGTACTTGAAAAATGAACAGTGTGGCCAAGGTGGCTCACGCCTGTAATCCCAGCACTTTGGGAGGCTGAGGCAGGTGGATCACCAGGTCAAGAGATCAAGATCATCCTGGCCAAGATGGTGAAACCCTGTCTCTACTAAAAATACAAAAATTAGCTGCGCAGGGTGGCGCATGCCTGTAGTCCCAGCTATTCGGGAGGCTGAGGCAGGAGAATCACTTGAACCTGGGAGGCGGAGGTTACAGTGAGCCAAGATCGTGCCACTGCACCCCAGCCTGGTGACAAAGTGAGAATCCGTCTCAAAAAAAAGTGAGGTCGGTGTTTTGTGACTCAAAGTGACCGGAAGACTTATTAGCATCTGAGCTAAGTTACGGAGCCTGCTCAGGAATTTGGGGCGGGGACAGGAGAAGCACGGGGCACATCTGCACAGACCGTAGGGTGGAGAGAGCTTGCACTGACAGGTTCTGTTCGTTCAGCAGACTGGCCACGGTAATACCAGATAGGGTCCTTTTGAACACTTAACTGTGCGCTGGGCCGTGTTCTCAGGGCAGGACACATAGTAACACAGTTTGTTTTTCTCCCCATCTAACAGGTGAGGAAACTGGGGCCAGAAAGGCTCCACAGCTGGCCCAAAGTCATGCAACCAGAAAGTGGTGGAGCTGGGATTAGAACCCAGGCAGTCCGGCTCAGACAGAAAGTGCCAGAGCTGGAGAAAAGACCCACGCCCACCCAGGAGGCTGCTCATTTCAGCGTTTTGTCCCCTCTCGAAAAACACAAAATTAGCTACTCCCCTCCCACCCCCTCATCCCACTCACAGCCCTGCCCTCCTCTGCCTCCGCCCCCCGACCTCCTACCTGGATATCTCCTCCATGCTCTGAGCTCAGCTGGGAAAAGAACTTCGAGGGGTCTGGGGTGTGACATTTCAGGACCTTCTTCAGCCTGGACAGAGGAGAGGAGAGAAGGAGGGTGAGAATGGGAAGGGCCGTGGCGTCCTGCTGTCAGTGCCACAGCTCTGGATGCAGGGCACAGAGCCACGCCACATTTACTTCTGTATAGATTCTGCCGATACCGACGGAGTGCTCACTGTGGGAGGACATTGTGTTGGGCACTGAGGAGACAAGAATGGCTGGCAAAGGAGGTCCCTGCTCTCAAGAAGCTGACATTCTGATGGGGAGACAGATACAAAGCATGTGTGCAACATCACGGTTCGTTCTGTGGAGACAGAGAGCAGAGTGTTCTCCATCTCATGAGATGGAGACGTGGGGGTCCGTGGGGGCAAATACACACGCCAGAGAGAGGGTCAGGGAGGGAGATGGCCAGAAAAAGTGGAGTGAACCAGGAAGAGGGAGAGAAGAGAGAAGCTTCCTTGTCAGGGCTGCCATGGATGGTGGTTCAGGTTGTGCAATGCCCAAGGGCATCAGGCTTGGGCAGGGAGCAGGAGAGGTGGTGGTGAGTGAGGCTGAATTCTAGCCCATCTTCTGCTTGCCAAGCTGAGTGCCTGGAAGAAAGAGGCACCATTTTTTAGTTGCACAAAGGTTCCACATGGCTGGTGGAGGCCCGGTGCAATGGGCAGCCTCTGAAGGGCATTAAACAGGAGAATGACATGGTCAAGAAAGGACAAAGTGCGCAAGAACGACAAGGAGGAGGGCAGTCTGGAGGCCACTGAACCCACGCCTGGGAGAGGACCTCTCGCCCTGCAGGGACATGTTTCCCTTGAAAGCCTGCAGGGAGCTGGGGGAGGGGACGGGTGGGTGGAGGAATGCCTGTTTTCTTGGGAGGAAAGGGGAAACGGGCTCCAAACACCGCTAATAACCACTGATCCAGGACGGGGGTCAGGAGAGCAGCACTCCATGAAAAAGAAAAAAACTTTGGGGACTTGAGTGAGTATCCACCAGCTTTGGTATCTGCGGGGGGAGGGGGCCTGGAACCACTTCCCCATGGATCCTGAGGGATGGCAACACATCGGCACCCTCCTCTGCCATCCTGACCCTGGTGTGTCGTTACACGCCTGCATGATTATCTGCCTTCCCCTCTGGGCTGTGAGCTACACAGAGCTGGGGCACAGGCCTATGGCCTGCCACCATTCCCAGCACTCTGAGCTGCACCTGGCATGCAGCTGGTACTCAGTGGGTATGGGAATAAGCCAATGACAGTCAGACCGAGATGGACCGGTGGGGACCCAGACACAGACACGGCCAACGTGCACGCGGGCACCCCCAGTCCTGAGAGCAGTGCTCTGAACAGGACCCCAGGGGCGCTCCCTGGAGGGCTGCACTTCCCACCTTCCCCTTGGGCTGGTTCCATAGGTTTCCCCTGTGGGGACCGGACACAGGGAAAAGCCAGGTTTTGGACAGGGAGGACTCTCAAGGAAGAGGAAGCAGAAGTGTATCAGAGCAGGGGCTGTCCAGAATCTGACCCGGCAAGGTGGCATGTGTGCGTGTATGTGTGCGTATGCATGTGTGTTTGTGTATGTGCATGTGCATGTGTGTACATGTGTGCATGTATGTGTTGAGGGTGGGAGTGTTTGTGTGTGTGTGCATGTGTGTTTGTGTGTGTGCATGTGCACGTGTGTACATGTGTGCATGTATGTGTTGGGGTGGGAGTGTGTGTACGTGTGTGCATGTGATTGTGTGCATGTGCATGCATATGTGTGTCCACGTATGTGCGTGTTGGGGTGGGAGTATGTGTACGTGTGCATGTGATTGTGTGCATGTGTGTATATGCATGTGTGTGCATGTGCATGCGTGTGCTCATGGGTGTGTGTGTGCATTGTGCTTGTGTGTGCATGTATGCATGTGTGTGCCTGTGTGCATGTGTGTGCTTGTGTGTACATGTGCATGTGTGTGTGTGTTGGGGGGGTGGAAGCACAAAGGAAGGAGAGGAGCACCTTCTTACCATGGTCCGGTGTTCCTGCAGTTGACCAGCAAGTAGACCAAGATGATGAAGCCACAGGCCCCGCTGAAGCCCACAAGGAGGTGGCTGGGCCAAGGAGGGGTGTCCTTCCCAGGGGCTGCCCAGGGGCGGGAGAAACAGCAAGGAGAGGGGTTAGAAAAGTGCCCCCACTCACCCTGGGTCACTCCAACATCCCGGTCCAGGGCCCTGCCAGGCAGGCCTGCGTCTGGGGTGCTGGGAACAGACAGGGTTCTGCTAAGCCTGTCCTCTCTGGGAAGCCAGATTTGATGCTAAAAAGAAATGACACGGTGGCCTTCCAAGAGCTCCTTCAGCTCCAAACAGATCCCATGGGCCCACCTGGCAAGCCCACAGCCTCCCACTGCCCCCAGGGCAGCCTGGGCTCCACCTGGCTGCACCCCTCCCTCCACCTCCCTCCACGCACCACTTAGAGGACCGCAGATCTTGCTTGCATTAACTCAGAATGTGATGTGATGAGGGACAGGCTCCCGGGGCCTCGCACGCCTTCCTCCCAGCAGGCCTGCCTCGCTGTCACCTTACCCATTTCACAGATGAGGCCGAGAGGTGAAAGCAGCCGCCCCCAGCCCCGGCAGAAACTGGGCATTTGACATTTCAGGGTGGAGAGAAGTGAAAAGAGCCTTTCTACCCCTCCCCAACTCACAGGGCCCACGGCAAGCCCGATCCCCTCACTGAATCCTGTTCCTGTCTGAAAACCGGGTCCCCTGCAGGGTCACAACAAGTGAGGGATGGAGCTGACTGCTGCAGCCTCACCCCAGGCAGGGAGAGAACGGAGCAGCTTCTCTCCCAGCCGCCCCCAGGGCCATCCCCAGCCACCCCTTCTGTGGGTAACCCCCCATATAGGCACCGAGGAATGAGAGCTAAGCAGAACCCTGGCACAGTTAGGGCTTGAGGAATATCTCACTTTATAGTGTTACTACTCAGCTATTTCCTTTTATATAATCCTTTACATCATCATATATTAGTTTATAGAATTAGGGCTTAAAGAATCCCTTCATATAATCCTCTACATATAATCATACAATACTTGATAGTATGAGTGTCTAAAGAATATTTCCCTATATATATACCTATAATTATATCTTAGTTCATAATCGGAGGAATGCCTAGAGTGGACACAGTACAGAGCGTGAATTAAGGGGAAACAGTTATACCAGGACAAGAATCTATGGCCCAGGTGGCAGCGTTCAGTATCGTAAAGATACCCGCTGTATGGCAGGCTTGGGGTGAGAGCCACTCCTCCTGATAAAGGAGTTGTAGGACCTTGCTCCAGTTCTTGTGGAAGGCTGCCCTCAGACCAGCAATCCACCTTGGTGACTGTGAACTTTATCAGCTCTTGCTACTGTGCTGCTTGAAAAGCATCTTCCCATAGAACCCATTGGAAGCTGCCAGAAGGTGGCGGTAACCTTGACTGCTCTGTCACTGCTATAGGAGGACTTAAAGCATCCTCCTATAAATCTTCTTAGAAGTAGTTTTCCCATAGATAGAAGTATTGCACACTGCACCCTCTTCACTGTGCACGGCACACCTTCAAGCCTCGGTGACCTAATGGGGGTGGACCCCTTAATGCACATGGCCCTTGCCTTCATGGGAACGGGCCCCTTGCTGCACACTGTCCACCTCCTGGCCTAGGTAACCTAATGGGGGTGGACCCCATGTTTTATTGCTCACGACCCTATCACTATCCTTATAGATGATTTCACTCACTGCCCTGCCCCCTAACCTATACACAATAAACACTCACGCTTCTGGACATTCGGGGCCTCGCCTGACTCCACATATAGGTGGCATGGCCACCGAGCCCAGCTGCGTTTTCCTTGTACTTCTGTGTCCTGTCTCTTTATTTCTCAGATCCTGTGCCTCAGCACAGCATAAGGCTCACCCCACGACCCTGTGGGGCCCTCAGCCCTACACCTCCTGCCTGAGCCCCCTCCCACCCTTGCTGCCCACCAGTACCTGCAGGCCTCGTCCTGAAGGTCAGGGGCTGGCTCCAGGGGCTCCAGGTCGTGTGCTTGCCTCGTAGAGGCCTAATCCGCACCTGCAGCTCATAGTGGGTGTCTGGGGTGAGCGTGTCCAGGAACATCCATTCCTGCTGTTGCTTGAGGGTCAGCAGGGGGGCCTCCTGGGGCAGAGACAGGACTGTCAGTGCCCACCTCATCTCCCATGGCAGGTCCAGGAGGCTGAGCACCGCAGCACCCTCCTCGCCCCCTGCCAGCTGTACCCCACTCCCTTCCCACCCAAAGCCCCCTCACTACCCAGCTGCTGGAGCTTCAAACCCCAAGTTCATCCCCTAAAGCCCAAGCCGTCAAGCTGATCAGCTGGTTCCACCCCTAGAACCCGGTTCTACCCCCAGGGTCCGGTTCCACCCCTAGAACCCGGTTCCACCCCCAGGGTCCGGTTCCACCCCCAGGGCCCGGTTCCACCCCCAGGGCCCGGTTACACCCCTAGAACCCGGTTCCATCCCCAGGGTCCGGTTCCACCCCCAGGGCCTNCCCCAGGGTCCGGTTCCACCCCCAGGGCCTGGTTCCACCCCCAGGGCCCGGTTCCACCCCCAGGGCCCGGTTCCACCCCCAGAACCGGGTTCCACCCCCAGGGCCCGGTTCCACCCCCAGGGCCCGGTTCCACCCCTAGAACCGGGTTCCACCCCCAGGGTCCGGTTCCACCCCCAGAACCGGGTTCCACCCCCCAGGGTCCGGTTCCACCCCCAGAACCTGGTTCTACCCCCAGAGCCATTCCAGAACCATCTATTTCTCTCCCCCCCGTACCCACCCAGGCCTGAGCTGCCTCCCTCTCCCACGCCTGCATCTGCTCTCTGATTCCCACCCATGCCCCGTTGCAGTCTATTCTCCAGAGGACCAGAAAGCAGGGCATCTCCACGCAGCCCTCCCGCCCTGGGTCGCTGCCCAGACACACAGCTCCATCCTGCCTTTGCGGGGCAGGTCCTTGTGTTTGCAAAACTCTCCCCAGATCTTTGCAGGTCAGCTCTTCTGGATCCCCAGGTGTCAGAGAGGCCTTCCCTGGTCGCCCAAGTCTGAAATGGCCTGTGCCCGTCACTGTCAAATACCTTGCCCCATTTGGTTTTCCTGATGGAACTTGTCACTACCCCATACAGTCACTGTTCCAGAGCCTGTTGATGAGTCTGCTGCCTGCCTGCCTGCCCCGCCCCAGCGTGAGATTCCTGAGAGTAGAAGTTTGCTGAGTTCACCCTCCACCCCTCCCCATCATCCAGCGCATAGTAGGTGCTCAGCAAATATTTGTTGAGTGAGCAATTGAGTGAATAAAGACGTGAGTATACGGTGAATGAATAAGCAACAGATCCGCGTGGACCTGGAGCAGATGGGCTTTGACGCACAGAGGGTGGTTCCCGGGCCTCTGAAAGCCCACGGGGCTGGGCAGCTGCCTGCCTCCTGGGTGTCTGAATCTTTCCCTGGAGTCAGCCTGGAACCTGCTGCCAGCCGGATCCCCAGGGCTAAGGGGGCTAGATGAGGAGGACGTGGAAGGAGGGGAGGCCGCCCCAGGCAGGGCAGAAGAGCACAGGGCTGGACTGTCACTCACCATCGTCCACCTGAGGCTGATGGGATCTTGCCGAAATGACAAAGGGACAGGACATGGACCAGGACAGGAAGGAGGAATCAGAGCAGCTGGGGACTGGGCCACATTCTCACCTCCCAGGTGCAGCCTGGGGACAGCATCCGGGCCTCCGACTCCAGTTTTCTTTCAAAGTAGTGGGAGGCTTGGGAGATTTCCCAGCTTATGTTGCAATCATGGGTCCCCATATAGACGACTTGGAGGGAGATGGGGGCCATCAGGCGAACTGGAGACAAGAGTGGGGAAGGAAGAGCAGCCAGGCATGACCTCCACCTCGCACCTGGCACCTGCCACTCCCCCCTCCTAGCATGTCCTACCACTCCCATGCCCAGAGCCCCGGGGCCCACTCCCTCCCTGCCTCCAGGACCCTCTCAATGGTCCTCTACAGAGAAGCCCTCCCTGAGCACCCCGACTCGACATCCCCTTTGCCTGCTGAATCTCTATGCACGGTGCTCATTCATTATCACCTGCCCTATGAAATCGACGCTTTGGTTTCTTTATTCACTTTCTGTCTCCCCCAGCAGACTGTGAGCTCCTTGAGGGCAGGGACTTGGTTGTCTGCTGTGTCCTTGGCGCCTGGAATATTATCTGGTATTTAATTCAGTATCTGCTGAATGAATGGCTCACGGCAGCTTTTCTCTGCACTTAGAAGTGACCTGAGAGCTTTACATGGATCATCTCACTTTTTTGAAATGTGATGATTATAGCACTGTGTGATTCTGAAGTTAAGTGAGTCTCAGTTGCTATACTTCTGAGACTCTGTAGAACCACGTAAGTGACAAGCAGACGTTGAGTGCTGACTACATGGTAAGCAGTTTCTGTGTCTTGTTTCAAAAATGCCTTATGAGCCTGTGGGGTAGGTGACTCCGATTCTCCCCAAAACTCAGGCTCAGGCAGGTCCGACGGTCTGCCAGTCAGATTGCATCCAGTTCAGGCCTGACTCTCTTTCTACCCCACTGCTTCCCTCGATATGGCCCCCAAGGCCAGCAGGCAGGCACTCGGGCATTCAACAAACCTTCCCAAAGCACTGTCCTGATGAGACCTAGTGCTGGGTGCCTGGCAAGGAGACACAGGGGTGGCAGAGACTCTGCCCTCAGGGTGCTTACAGCCCAGTGAAAGAGACAGACCTACAACCAGGCAGACAGTCCCTGAAAGAGGATGTACAAAGAGCTAGGGGAGTCTAGGAAGGCCTCCTGGAAGAAGTGGCTCTCGACTAAGCCTCGAAGCATGAGTGGGAATTTTCCAGGTGTAAGAGCCTTCCAGGCAGTGGGACTGGCATGTGCAAGGGCTCAGAGGCATGGGTAGGCAAGGTGGGTGTGGAGAGCAGGCCTTTAGTTGTGGCAGAAATATAGGCCACAAGAGGAGGAGTACCAGGGAGGAGGCCCAGGGCTGGAGCCTGAGAGGCCTTGAATGCCAGAGTAAGGAGCCAGGACTTCATCCCGAGAACAGTGGGCAGTGAGGTGATCAGATGTAGGTGTGGAAGCTTCAGGGGAGAGAGGCTGGAGCAGGGAGGATCCCAGAGGAGGCACAGGGAAAGGGGGGCCCAGCCCTGCCCCAGCCCCACCCTGGCTTCCTCACTCACAGTTCTCAAAGGGTTCGAAGTCCTGAGTGGTCATCATCCTCCATCGCGCCCCTTCACGGCACATCACCCTCAGGTTGACGATGTCCGCTGAGGTCAGTTTCTGAGACTGCAGGGGAAGGAGAGCAGGGGTGAAGCTTCTGGCAGCTGGGGGTGGGGGAATGGGGAGGCCACCAGGATGACCAGGGGAGGACGGGAGCTTCTCCACATGCCCCATCACCCAAGGCAGACGTTTTCTATAAAATGCTATATATAGCAACTATTTTTGGCTTTACAGGCCACGTGGTCTCTGTCACAATGACTCAACTCTACCACTGTAGTGTGAAGCAGACACAGACAACATCTAAATGAACAGCAGGGCCGTGTTCCAATAAAACTTTATTTACAAACACAGGCAGTGGGCTGGATGTAGCCCATGGGTCAAGGTAGTTCAAAGCCTGATCTAAAATGATCAGGTTAGGTCTTGAGCTACCGCGAGAGGTACCTCAAACTATCTTGAGAGGGAGTGAGCTCCCTGTCACAGGAGGCATGCAAGCTGGTAAGCCACCACGAAGGTACAGGTCTGGAATTGTACCTGTTTAACATTTTTTAGTGTGAAAGGCCCTCTCCTGCCCCACCTCTCCCCATCCCTACCCTTTGAATTTTCTGGAAGAAAACAGGCAGGTATTGAGCATCTCCTGTGAGCAGGCGCTGCTCAGATGCCCCAGCCCCTCAAGCACACAGCATCCATCCCATGGTGTGGGTGGGAAGCCTGAGGCTTGGGCTGGTCAAGGGACCTGCCTGAGGTCATGCACTGGACAGCAGGGAAGCCCAGGTTTAAACCCAGGCCCTCTGTGTCCTGCAGCACGGCTGCGTCTCCGAGTCCTGGCCCGACACGCCTGACAGAGGGCTGCCGAGTGAGCGGCTTAGGGGAGGTCTAGTGCAGGATCCATCGAGCATGCAGGCCTGGCTGTGCCTCCAGGATCGGATCGGGTGCCAGAAGCAGGGAAGACGCCAGACAGTGGGAGCCTCCTGCCCCTCCGAGCCTGCAGAGGCAGGGGGGATCTTCCCAGAGCCTGAGAGTGCAGGGACGCCTGAGTCCACAGCCACATCTGGACCCGGGGCCTGGATCTGAGAAGCATAGGCATGTTAGGATCTGAGTCCAGGATGCCGATTTCAGGGCCAGGACCGTGGGCACAGTCCCTCTGACCTGCGTAAGACCCACGATGAGCAAACCTTGAACCTGGTCATTAGAATTCCCCAAACTGGCCAGTTCCTCTCTACCCCATAGACCCTGTCCTAGCCTTCTTACAGCTGCTCTGGGGGCTAGATTTTCCCAGATAATGTAGTCTCATCATTGTTATTCCTATTATCATTGTTGTAAAAATATTGCCAATCATGCATTCTCCTGGGCACTCACACGGTGCCAGGCGCTCTTTAGAGCACTTTACATATATTATCTCATTTAATTCTCTCAACAGCCTTGGGCACAGGCACTGTTACTATTTCCATCCTATAGCTGAGAAGACTGAAGCACAGAGAGGCTTAGGGACTTGCCTGAGATCACACAGCTAAGAAATAGTGGAGCCAGGATCAGAAACCAGGCCACCTACAGAGCTCCCTGCCTGGACACAGCATCGGGTTCCAGAGGCTGTGAGTTTATCAGCTCCACTGTGGGACTCCATCTCCACACTCTCCTGCCCCTCGGGAATACATATAACCCGATGGTGGTGGAAGATGTGGTCCGGGTGTCCTGAGTGGTCATCATCCTCTATTGCGCCCCTTCACGGCATATCACCCTGCTCAGGTTGACGATGTCTTTGCTGGGAAGATGCCCCCTGCTTCTGCAGGCTCAGAGGTGTCTGCTCCCACTGTCTGGCCTCTTCCCTGCTTCTGGCGCCCGATCCGATCCTGGAGGCACAGCCGGGGCTGCATGCTCCATGGATCCAGTGCAAGTTGGGGACAAGAGGGACCCCCGCCCCTTCCAAAGTAGCTAGGAGCTCCCCTGGTGCAGCTACAGCCGCCCAAGCCTGGACCCAGGCATCTCTGTGCTCTCGGGGTCCCCAAGAGGACCCTCGCTGCCCCCACAGGCTTGGGGGTATCTGCTCCTAATCCAATCTCAGAGCAAGGCCAAGCCCAGGTGCTGCCACAGCCAGGCCAGACATGCCCAAACTCGGGGCAGCACTGACTCACTGGCCCCGGCTGCCTCGGCCCCCTCTGCCTCCCGGACTTTGAGGAGCCAAGGGAGCACCGGGGACAGCTTGGCACTGGCCTGCAGGTGCCCTTGGCCAGAGCGGCCTGGGCAGAAGGGTGCGGGTCCCTGGTGAGGTCCCACCTTCAGGCTGGGGAGGTCCTAAACAACAAAGCCTTTGTTGGGTCTTGACTCAAGCAAGTAGGTACCATTATAATGCCCATTCTACAGAAGGCGAAATTGGGGCACAGGGACTGCCCAGTGTCACCCAGCTGAATGAGGTGAAGTCAGGGCTGGAGCATCTAGCTCCCAAGTCTGCAGCCTTCGCCCCCACACTGTGCTGAGCAGCCAAGACTCCAGGAAGAGCAGGTGTGGTCATTATTAGTTACCGGGGGCCATCTTACTTGATAAAGAACACAAGTGTCATAGGGCCCACAAAGCACAGGGAAGACAGTGGGAGAAGAGGCAGAGTGGCGGATGCCTCACAGAAGAAGGTTCCCTCGGCCCTGGGGCAGCCCTGAGGCCACACCTTGGGGTGTCACGTGCTTTTCTCCGCCTCCTCCTCCACACTGGGCGTGCTGCTTGGCCTCAGCCGGCCATTGGGCCCCAGCTCCTCCCCTGTATCGGGCCCACCCTGAGACTGCAGCCTGGAGCTGGGAGGCCGCCCTCTCCCTGCACCCTCTCCCTGGGCGGGCTACTCACATCCGGGGGTCCGAGGATGAGGTTGCAGGCTCGGGATGCCTGGCTCACAGGGAGCAGCTCACAGGTTTGGTTCCACGGCCTTTCAAGGCAAAAGCACCTCCTTAGAAGAACAGGAAGGACCCACAGAGCTGGCCCAAGCGAACTTCTCAGATCTCTCTGCTGCCAGGGTGGCTCCAGGCAGCAAGGCCCGGCTGGGGCCCCTTTGCCAACCTCCATGAGGGCACCTCCTCCCCCTCTGACTCCCGGTATTCCTCCCGCACAGGCACCTGTCCTGCCCTGCACCCCAGCCTGGTCCCACGGCACCTGCAGTCATCTGGAAACAAACCAGGTCAGCACAGGAGGTCCTCTCCACCCGGAGCCCTCCAAAGCTCCCTGAGGCTCAGGTCCTTAATTGGGCCTTCAGAGCCCTTTGGAATCACCACTCACCCAGAAGCCAGGACCCCCACCCGCCCTGGCCATCCGTCTCCCTTCCCATTTTCCCCACCCCACACCCCATGGGATCCACCTGGGCCTGGCCCCCTCTCTGTGGCCTTCCTCTTCTCCCTGACCCCATAAAGCCTACCTGGGGTCAGTCCCTCACTCACCGGCCACCTGGATGTTTACATCGCAGTGATATCTGTCCCCCAGCCCCCAGGCACCCCAGCCACTCCCAGGTTCCCTGTCCCCACGGCTGCCCACAGGGTCTCTCAAAATCTGAGATTACCAAAAATGCCTAGGGACCCCTGTTTCTCCCCAATTCCTCTCCACTTGCCTCTAGAGTGGAGCCCAGCCTTGGCATACCAGGCTTGTAGCTCAGCATCCCCAAACTTCCCTGTCTAGCTCATCCCCAGCCCCTCCACTGCAGCCTGGACTCCACCCAGGTACTAGAAGTCAAAATAGCTGACTCCCAAAATCTCTTAAACGATCCCTTGATTCCAGGCCTGGGTCCCACCTCCTGTGATTCGAAGTGTCTGTGGGTCCTATTAATCCAAGATTCTGTAAATGCGGACTCCTTAGAGTCCGACGCATAGGATCCAGACTATAAGCTCCCACCATCCCAAGATTCTGCAGTGCAGCCAGGAGGACACGCTCACCGTTTGTCCGGCCTGGCCTGGACTTGGCAGGAGGTGTCCTGCAGAGCCTCGGCTTGGCTCCAGACACAGGAGATGTTGGCTCTCGAGTTGTAGAAGCATGTGAGCTGGGAAGTGCCTGTTGGGCAAGAGGTCGTGTGAGTGCTGACTGCAGTGCCCACGCCCCGCTGAGGCACGCCCACTGCCCCTGCACCTGGCCCCCACGTTGGCCGGAGGAGGAGGCGGCTAACTCTGACTAGCGGATAATAGACTCGTGGGTCCACTTTAGAGAAGAGGAAATGGAGCCCCAGAGCCTGCAAGTTCCCATAGCAAGCTAAGGCAGGCAGGGACAGAAAGCAGCATGTGCCTGTGGCTTGGAGAGGCGTGTGTGTGTGTGTGTGTGTGCGTGCGCGCATGCATGCGTGTGTGCATTCGGGCACACGTGTCAGGGTGGGGGTCCAGGACAGAGGGTGAGGCAGGAGGCAGCCCCATCACCTCTGCCTCCTTTCCTTCTGGGGAGAGGCTTTAGCAGGGCCTTAGCCACCTCCCCTAGGGAACGCACAGCTGTCCAGATGCCAGGGTCCTTACCGTTCACTGCTGCGGATGCCCAAGGGGTCGCCAGGGACAGGAGGAGGGCGAGGAGGGGCAGATGCCAGGACAGAGCAGGGGCAGCCATTACATCCACAGGATGGAGCTGAGGAAGGAAGCCCTGGGGGAGAGGAGGGAGAGAGAGCCCACGTAAACACACACCCCAGGCCTTGCTGTCCCCAGAGGCAGGCAGGGCTGCCCCCTCAGTATGCGTGGTCTGCACTGCCCTGTGCCAGCCAGCTCAGTCCAGCCCCAGGGCCTTTGTACCTGCTCGTCCCACTGCCCCACACATGCTCACAGCCTTCCTTCAAGTTTCTGCTCCATTGCCACCTCCTCTGAGAGGCCTTCCTTGACTAGACTGCATGAAGAAGCACCCTACTCACCATACCCCCACATTTTCATCATGGCACTATTTATTTGTTGTTTATTGACTGATTTATATTTTCCTCTATCTCTCTTCACAAACATACACAGAGTCATGTAAGCTCACTGAGGACAGGGATTTTTGTGTTTTGTTCATTGCGAGGTCCGCAATTCCTAGAACAGTGCCCAGCACATAGTAGGCATCTGGCAAAAAAAATTCTTGAACAAACAAGTGATGGAATAAAAACAGAGCGAGCTAAAGTCAGTGGGCAGAGGGGCTTCCAGAGGGCTCCAAGCATAGCGCCTGCTTCTGCCCCTCGCTCTCCCTCAAGGGAGTTGAGGCAATGGTATGGAGGCATCAGGACGTGAACTTGGAGAAGCAGAAAAGCAGATAAGAGCTCTGACCTGAAGACTGAAGAGCCCTAGAGAACAGGGGAAACTGAGGCACAGAGGGCTTCAGCTACAGTAGTCTTTATGGAGGACCTTATACACGCTCATACTCCCCTAGGTAGGGGAGCTACCTGGAAGCTCCCTGGAGGCAGAACCAGGTTGGTCACCCAGGTTATTCCCCAGGGAGGAAAGAGACATGAAATCTCTAAGTTTCCCAGAGCCTCTATTACACACTGGCCCCTGGCTGGTGCTTTTTCTTTTCTTTCTCTTTCTGTTTTTTTTTTTTTTATTGAGACGGAGTTTCACTCTTGTTGCCCAGGCTGGAATGCAATGGTGCGATCTCAGCTTACCACAGCCTCCACCTCCCAGGTTCAAGCAATTCTCCTGCCTCAGCCTCCTGAGTAGGTGGGATTACAGGTGCCCGCCACCACCCTGCCTAATTTTGTACTTTTGGTAGAAACAGGGTTTCTCCATGTTGGTCAGGCTGGTCTACAAACTCCGAACCTCAGAAGATCCGTCCGCCTTGGCCTCCCAAAGTGCTGGGATTACAGGCGTAAGCCACCGCAGCCGGTGACCAGCGCTTTTACAGGCATCAGCCCAGGTCACCATCCCTGTTCCTATTCTCTAGGATCTGCACCCAGGACTGCCTGCCACCATGGCCTTTGGCGCCTGGGGAACTACCTTCCCAGTTCAGCCAAGATGCTGCTCTCCTGCCAAGGAGACTTTCAGAGAGGCCCCTCCCGGGGCCCCCATATTTGAGGTCCAATAAGAAATAGTGTCTGCCAGCGCCTCTTCTCAGGGAACCCCTAGCCCACCGTGGAAGCTCCGTTCAGCACACAGGTGAGGCGACCACCACTGTCGCAGGGGAAACGGCCAACCAAGAAATGTGGCTGCTCCCACCCCCTGCAGGGCTGGGTGCATGGAGGGGAAAGAGAAAGCGACCACTCCACTCCGTCAATTCGGGAAGGTGCGGGGACTGCCGCCAGGAGAGTTGGTTGGAGCAGGCAAAGGGGGAGGCAGGGAGATGAGGAGGGCGCTTCCAGGGAAAGACGAGGTGGCCCCAGTCAGAGGGGCGGGGCAGAGGGGAAAGGGGCAGATGAGTCGAGAGCTGGGGAGGAGGTGGCGCATCCTTCCCTCCGTCCTGCCCTCCCATCCCGAGAGCTTCCAAGGCCCCTCGGCATTGGGCTTTGTTGCCGCCTGCTCTTCCCTCTCCAGCAGCTCCCACCTCTTCCTCCCCTTCCCTTCTCTCTCAGTCTCTCAATGGCCTCAGCCCTCAACTTCCAAGGGTCTTCCTCCAGCTCAGCCCCAAGCCCCCACGTCTCTCCTGATGGTCTGCAGGACCCCCTCACAGGGGATGCTCCTGGGCCCAGCAAAAACCCAGCTCATCCCCAGCTCTTCTCCTGTCTGACTTTCAGGTCTGGGACAATTGTACCCTTCCTGTTCCAGGGAACCTTTGTCCTTATACCGAGCCAGCCAGGACACTCCATACACAGGAGGACAGTCCAATGACAACTTGCTGTCTCTTCCTCACCCTCACCAGGCCAGCCCCGTGCCGTACCAACCTGGGCGATGGCATCACCCCATCGGCCGGCTGTCACCTGCCTTCCCTGAAGCCCAACTACCCGCCTCCCTGCCCAGAAACCTTCAGTGGCCCTGTTGCAACCAAAGCCCAAATTCCCGCTTTCGAGGCTTTCTGGGACCGGGACGAGATCAGCGAACCCTACCAGGCTCTGCCCTCACAGAAGCAGGGGTGTGTGCCCAAGCAGAAGCACACATGCACCGCACCTACCCGCCTGCAAAAGCCAGTAGCCCCAGTTGGCCAGGAGACCAACGCTTGTCCTCCAAAGGTCCTTCCCAAGTCTATCCTTTCCCCAGGTCCCCTACAGATCCTACCATCCTTCAAACCCATTTCAAACAGCCCTTCATGCCTTTTTCCACAAAGCCCTCCCTGATTTCCACAATGGAGGGTGAGGTCTTGCTCCTCTGAGCGTCTTGTTCCTTTCTCCAGGCTGGCAGCAGCAGGGCAGCATTGGCCAGGGGTTGGTCCAGCAGGGCACTTGCTCCAGGGACTGCTGGGCACAGGGCCTGGCACACAGTTGGTGCTCAATAAATGCAGTAAAATGAATGCGTGTGGTCAGAGGCCTCAGTACTGCAAAAAAAAAGCAGAGCGCTTTGGGTGGGCCTGGGTTGTCTCACAGCTTACGTCGTAGCCAGTATGGAGCAGGGACACGCGCCCTGGACCCGACAGCCATGGGTTCCATCTCCTAAGGCAGATGTCACAGGAATGAGAGTCAGAGGCCCACACATTGTCAGAGCTGCAAAGGCTCTCTGAGCAAGCCCAGTCCCTTGTTCTACCTTTGGGGACACTGAGGTCCAGAAGTGGAACAGACTTGCTAACGGTCACATCAGGAGCCCAGCACAGAGCTGGGATCAGAACCCACCTGCACGCTGCTTGCCAACCCCTTCACCACACCAAAACCATCGGCTGACAGGTTGCTGTATGCCAGACTCCACTTAAATATCTTTAAATGCTGCAATAAGGGCCTCTGGTGGTGAGACTCCTATTATCTCCATTTTCCAACGTGGAAACTGAGGCACACAGAGGTGAAGTACATTGCCTAAGGTCATGTAGCGGATAAGATGCCCTCCCGGAATCTTAGCCGGGGCAGACTGCCCAGCTCCCAGGCAGGGATCCTCCCCCAGGGAACTCCCCGGACGCGTCTTCCCACCACAACAGCTCACACGACGGTAAACACGCACTGGTAACCTACTAATATTCGTCATACGCACTGAACACTTACTCTGTGCCAGGCCTGGGGCCAAGTGCCTCACATATGCCCAACAGCCTCACATAAGCTGCCCAATGGCTTTATTATCCCATTACACAGATGAGGAAGCTAAGACTCCAAGCCCCTAACTTGCCCAGGATCACATACACAGCAAGAGGCGGAGCAGGTATTCTAGGCACACTCCTGCCAGACACTGGTCCCAAAGGTAAGGCTGCCACCCTCCCTGCCCTGGGAGTCAGGGCCCAGCAGGGCACAGACAGACCAGCAGGTGCATGTCCTGGGTACCATGGGCTCATCCTGGCCTGGCCCATCGTCTCCATGGGAGCATGACCTCCCCAGGGTGGAGGCTGCTCACCTCTTTCTTGGGATCCCCCAGTAGCAGACGGCACAGGGCAGGGACCCCAAAGAGTGCAGAGCCCAACCAGGGGACTCCCACAGCCCCTGAGAGCCTAACCAGGGGACGGACTCCCACAGCCCCTGTGCCCCTTCATGCTTAATCACGCCAGCCTGGCCCTCGGGCAAGGGCACCACCAGTGTTTTGTGTGGGGGTCTCCCTGGTTGCCCCCAGGTAGGGCCCAGCCTCAGGATGACCCCATACCCAGGACAGGACATTCAGAGAGCCCCAGGGTGGGAGGAAGGTGGCGGGGGACAAAGGGGCACAAGGTCAAAGGATGATGAGGGGCAAACCACAGGCCCAGCCTAGAGGCAGCCAGGCAGGCAGAGAAAGTGCTTCTGGAATCTGCTTCCCGCTGGCTGGGCTGCAGCCATGCACAGACACAGCAAAGTCCAGGGGAGGACAGTGTGGGGGTGCCAGAGGGGCTCAGGGCTGAGGGGGTGCCTGGCAGTCACTGAGGCTGCACCCTCATTCTGCAAAGGGGAAGCTGAGTCTCAGGGAGGCCAAGGAACCCACTCAAGGCAGCACGGCGAGGAAAAGCCCAGCCTCAGGTGACAGCAAGAGGAGCACAGGGCCTCAAGTCCAGAGCTCCCTCACCTGGTCCTCAGGCACACCCACACGTGCCCTGTCTTTCATGACTCAAAACTGGTCACACCCACGGATGCCTGTGTCCTCACCACAACCCTGCAAGGTAGGTCTCGCCCCCCCTCCCAATTTGATCCATGCCAGAACTGAAGCCCAGAACGGAGCGGCTGACCCTACCATCTGATTGCCAGTGAGATGCTGCAGCGGACAGGGACTGGGGCCTGCTCCATCTCTGTCCTGAGCTCTCAGGGGCGGTTCAGCATTTAGCCCCCCCAGCAGCCCCATGTGGAGGCTCTAGTATTCCTCCTTTTTGCCAGATGAGAAGACTGAGGCACAGGTCAGCCTCTCGCCCAGGCAAGAAGGGCGTAGAGCTGGGATCTGAACCTGGTCAGATGCAGTCTGGGGCCCCTGCTGCCATCAGGCGTACGTGGTGGCTGGGGCAGGGTGGTAAAGCTCGGGAGCCCGTGGTGCATCCCGCCTGACCTCTGAACTCGATGGGGCGCATGTCCTCCCCTCGTCCCCTCCGGCCACCTCCACCTGCCACCCCACTGCCCCCATATACTGTGTTTGTCTCTTGCTATTTAACTTCAGGGGTTTTCC